TCTGTCTGTCTGTCTGTCTGTCTGTCTGTCTGTCTGTCTGTCTGTCTGTCTGTCTATATATATATATATATAGCACATAACTAACATATACCATTCATCGTTATTATTATTATTATTATTAATACTAATACTAATAATATATTATTTTAATATATAATATGCATATATATATATATATAATATACAAAGTATATATATTAATAATATTAATAATAATTTATTATTAATATTAGCTGTCACAGCTAATATTAGTCATATTAGTTGTCTCAGATGTGGCATAGTGTAATGTTATTGCCAATTGTTCAATGTTATTTATCGAGAGCTCTGTAATCTGACAGCTTGTGGATAATATCTGTTCTTTAGTCGTGTTGTACGTGATGGCAGACTCCTGTATTGTCTGCCTGAGGTTAGTAGACAGAAGAGTCCTTGTGCTGGGTGGGCGTGGTCCTTAATGATGCTGCATGCTTTACGCAGACATCGGCTGTGGTAGATGTCCTGGATGGTGTGGCGACTGCTACCAGTGATGTCCTCTGCTGTTTGCACCACCCTCTGTAGAGCTTCCCAGCTCTGACTGGTGCAGTTCCTGTACCACTCTGTGATGCAGCCTGTCAGCAGGCTCTCAACGATGCACCTATAAAAGTTGGTGAGGATGCTGGTGTTCGTACCAAACTTCTTTAGACTTCTTAGGAAGTAGAGTCTCTGTCAGGCTTTCTTGACCACAGTGTCTGTATGTAATGTTCAGGACAAATCCTCAGTAATGTGCACGCCGAAGAACTTGAAGCTGCTGACCTGCTCCACCTCAGCATTGTTTATGTTGATGGTGGGGTGGTGGTCAAATAATGTGCCACTTATGTTGGTAGCATAAAACATGTCAGAAAGCCTTTTAAACACTTACTGGCACAGTAAAATACAAACCTCCCTGCTTGCTTAAAGCACCTTTAATGACATGAAACCTTGAAAACACATAAAATGAACTTCCTTTTCCCCTCTCTCCGCCCACACACCCTCGTACTTTTTCAGATCTTCATCATTTAAATGCAGCTTTTCTATGTTCTCCAATTACAAGTTACCAGCTGGACGACTAAAATAGTTCTAAAAAGCGGCTGCTGAATCGCAGACTGCAGTTTGGACATTACAGTCATTAAAATAACTACTGAAACAAACTGTTAGAAGGAAAAATCCCTTTGAAGTGTATTCACCACATGGTGCATTTCAGTGCATGGTGAGCACATGGGAAATTTGAAAGCCGAGACTGTGTTTGAAGACGTGTTGCTGTAAAGATCTGTGAGTGTTTACTGAGCGCAACTTTTTCCTGTTAAAAGATTAAAGGTCAGCCAAGCTGTTAGCAGTCAGAACAAGTAGCATAAGAAGGTGATGTAGAAACACTTAAAGGTGACGTAATCACACATCTACCCCCATGAGCCATTGAGTCAAACAGTCCATAAGAGGTTTATTTTTTATCTAGATTAAGCAATCTGTGAGTCAGACAGTTAAACAAAACATGAATTTTAGGTTAAAAGTTTGGCAATAAAGAAATATGTCATGTTGTTTTGCATTTTGCTCATCCCTAACATGAGCTAAAAATAAAAATATTTCCAGAATAACATCCACATAATGTGTCATTTATCTGAGAAGGCAGAATGTAGCAGTCATTACTTACATGACCATTTTACCCTTTAAAGCAATAGTGGGGTTCTATGGAAAATCTGTGAACAGTTAGTATCTTACCTGCTGCAGATAGCTTTTAAAACAACCCCAGTTTAAATAAAAAGTACCGGTAAGTAGTTCTCATGGATTAATGAGCTGACTGTCACACTGAGTGTACTCAAGTACAAAGCAACCTTAGAATAACTTCAGTCTTAAAAGGTTTATACCAGATCAGATGAATGTTGTTTATAGGTCTTTATGTTATACCATTATTTAGAAATTATAGTTTAATATTTATGTTGGGTTGTTTTAAGATGATTGAAATCCATATAGTTTTTAGTCCTGCACAAATTATTTGTTAGCTTGTCAATCCAGTCAGAGTGAAACTATGGATTATGAAAGTTGTTAAGAAGGAATGATCTGTAGGTGCCAGGTTCGAGAAACAGAATAGTTTATTTTATGTGTGTACGCCCCCCTGAAAAAGTCTTGGACACCTTTGTGCCACCACTTTGCATTAAAGTCTAACTCCACCATTGGCATAATTTGATTTTGTCAAAAATAAATAAATAAATCAGGGATTAGGCTACTTTGTTTTCATTTGCATCAAGAATTATTGATAATTTGCAGAATTTAAAAAAAGCATCACAATTTTTATTTTTCCAGATCTTTAGGTCCAGATGGAGTTCTTCAAAGAGCTACATTGGACCTTTGAACCAGAATATAAAATAATATTGCCTTTCATTTTATTGTTCATTGGGTTAATCTCACTAGCATATACTTAAAACAGTTTAAAGATACTATAAAGTGTTAAGACTGGGTCTATATGGTACAGTCTGATGAAGTTATGCGAAAGAAGATGGTAATTGAAGGTGGAAAGATCTTGCAGTGAATGCAACTAAAGCTCAGATGGAGGATTGACACCAGAAAATGTTGTTGCATTGTCTGATACAACAAAATCAAGTCATGTGTCTACGCTGCTCATGTGAGAGAGCAGGAGATGAGTGGAGAGCGAGGAAGATGAATGAGAACAAGATCAGCTGTTCATTGAGTTTGTTGCACCATGATTGCCAAACAAAATAAATCTCAGTGTATGTTCTGTTGTTAATTAATTTAAAGTCACACTGGGCTCCTATGTTGTCAAAGAAATAATCAAACAATAAAGTTAAGCGTATCCTGGAGGTGACATTTTCAAGCTGCATTGAATTTCATTTAATTTACAACTGGTATTGATTAAAATGGATTTATCTTGAAGTAGTGAATTTGATTATTTACCATAAACATTTAATCAGTTCTCATTTTTAGAAATCGAGTTCAGTAATCGTGTTGATTACCATCCCGTAGAATAAGAGCTAAACAGTTCTCACCGAGTTGAAGCTCATGGTTTGTTTCGCACACACTCCAGTCCACGTTGCAGTCGCAGTGTGTCTTCTCAAACAAGTTGTCCAGAACTTCCCGGACAGTCTGTCTCTCATCGACCATCAGAGTCTTGGAGCTGCCGTCATTCATTAGCACTTTTACCACCAACTGTAAAAAAAAAAGCTTAATTTTACTTTTTAACATTTATTTTCCACAAGACTTTCAAACCAAAAAGAACAGCACTTGAGGGGTAATGTTTTACTGAGCCATTTATTATTCATTTAGAGATATTAGATGACATGAATCTCCAGAAGTGAACTGTTAGCTTAGTCGTTGCTAAGCTAGTAGTCAATTTTCGTAGTTTAATTAGAAAATTAGTGCTTTATTAGCTATAGATTTGTACTGCTATGAAAGTACATTTAATTTATTTTTATTTAATTTCAGTTTATTTTCCAAAAAAGTTCAATCTGGTCCTCTGGATATTCAAAAAAACAAAACAAAGCAAAAAAATATAGAAACGTTTCGTCTCTCATCTGAGAGACATCCTCAGTCTGAGGAGCTGTATTCAGCTCAGTCTCTTAAATAGCACCTTCTCAGAGTGGATCAACCAGTTTGCTGCTGACAACCAAAACCAGCTGCTCACATGGTCAAGAAGGACCATCAGCCTAACAATGGATCATTAGCACACTGATGGCTGTTTACTATTCACAGGGAGTTAAGTGATACTAGCAGTCACAGCATTGTAAGAGGGGGACAGTTGACCCCAGAGGCCTCCACCTCTGTTTAATGATGGACAATTTCTTTTCATAAAGATGGCCTCCTTTACTCCTCTCTCAAACCATCGTTCCTCTCTGTCCAGGATGTGAACATCTTCATCCCTGAAAGAGTGACCGCTGGCCTGGAGATGAGTGTAGACCGCCGAGTCCTGACCTGATGATGTTGATCTTCTGTGCTGGGCCATCCTTTTGGCCAATGGCTGTTTTGTTTCCCCGATGTAAGACTGATCACAGTCCTCCCGACACTGAACAGCATACACAACATTGCTCTGTTTGTGCCGGGGGACTGGATCTTTGGGATGAACCAGTCTTTGCCGTAATGTATTTTGGGGTTTAAAAGCCACTGGGACGTTATGTTTAGAAAATAAACGTCTCAGTTTCTCTGATACTCCCTCAACATATGGAATGACCAGTGGTCTGGGTCTGGGATCCTCCTTTTCACCCGATGGCTGATTAGAGTCCTGTTTGGGTTTCTTCTTCTTTCAGGAAGGCCCAGTTAGGATATCCACGAGTCTAGAGCCTGTCTTGTGTAGGATTTCTCCTTCTGCCTGGCTCCTGAGTTAGTGGGGATGCTGTCTGCTCTGTGATACAGAGTCCTGATAACTCCTAACTTGTGCTCCAAAGGGTGATGGGAGTCAAACTGCAAATACTGGTCTGTGTGGGTGGGTTTGCGGTACACCTCGGTTTGCAAATGTCCTCTATCAGAGACTGAGACCTCACAGTCCAAGAAAGCCAACCTGCCATTTTTTACATCTTCTCGTGTGAACTTGATGTATTTATCTACAGAGTTGATGTGGTCAGTAAAATCTTGGACTTCCTGAGATTTAATTTTAACCCAGGTTTCCCAGAAAAGAGAGCCTTGACGTCCTTTTCAGGGACACCACCAAGTCATTGGTTCAGGTATGTTGACGACAACTGGGTTAAAATTAAATTAGTTGGCTACAACAGGTAGCCTAATGGCTAAAGGATCATATTACTGTACTAATACTGTGTATGGTACAATGCAGTGCAGTTCTACTTTTTTAGTTTGTCATCAAGAAAGTACTGTAATACTAATTATGTATTGTCAGTGAATGGTACAGTCCTGTTCATTTGGGCAAACTTGGAATTTCTGACACAAGTTCCATTTTTTTATTGTATACTTTTCAAGGTTTTTAAAAATTTCTGCTAATTTTTAAGTTTTTTTTTTTTTGGCAAAACATTTATAAATTTACTGTTTGTACTTTGGTATTGTTTTAGTATTTGTATATTCATGTAAACTTATTGAATGGGGATAGTTTTTTATTCTTGATATGTAGCCTTAATGTGATATGTAGGCCTATATGTGATCTAATTAGGTTTTCAATGCATCTTAAAGAATATCTACTATTGTAGACCTATAATTATTTTTCCTTAAATATCGTTTTATTTTATTTTAATTTTTGCCCAAATATTACAACTTCCAGCCCAGTCAAGACACTAATCACAATCAAACAAAATCCTCTCAACCCAAAATGCAAATCTGACTAAATTAATGTTTCTTTCTGTATTTTTTGTCTTCATACTTGAGCTTGTAAGTTTGTTTTTCATCAGCAAATTCTTTAGGTTAACACAGAGAATGAAATGAACATTAGGATTTATGTCAGCCTGCTACAGTTTTTTGCTAAATGGTTAGTCTGCATGCATGATTAGCTGGACACAGAAACAGAAGAATCCAGAACTAAACGGGTCACTCTGTTGTAAACAAGTCAAAGTTCTGACATCCTGCTGTATGTTCAAAACTTTATTTTAAAATGCATTTAATAGGAATTAGTTGTTTAAATAAAAAGTATACATTTTATATAAAGTATCTGGGTTAAAGTCATTGCATTTTTTGGATATTAGCCTACAAATAGTATGAAGACTGATCATTTGGTAAATGAGTCAAATGTGGATGACTGGTAAAGAGGGAAACACTACTGGGGGAAGTGGTGTGTCGGTTTTACTGCAGCTTCTACATTTGGAACGTCATGAATATGTGTTAAACTCATGTTCAGGAGTTACTGTCAGCAGTGAAAAATAAAAATCCAGTAGGACAGTAACTTAATAATTAAAAAAATCGAAACAATCCTGTAAAGGGATTAAGGGAGTACTATGCAATGTGGTCAAATCAATGTACTAAGCAGTGGCGATTTTAGCCACTTTGGGGGGGGGGGGGGGGGGGTGCTCAAGCACCAGTAAATTTTAACTTAGCAACTTTAAGAATCCATCATTAGGATTTTGTAAGGAAACTCAGTTCTCAAACTGTAGATTCACCAAAATATTGAATAAATTGGAAATAAATATGAAATAAATGACCTTCTTTCTTTGTCTTCTTTAAGCTTTTCTCTCTTCAGGAGTCTCCACAGCAAGTCATCCTCCTCCATCTCTCTCTGTCCTCTGCATCCTCTGTCCTCACTCCAACTACCTCCATGTCCTCTCTAACAGCATCCAGATATCTACTCTTTGTCTTTTTCCTGGCAGCTGCATTTCTAACATCCTTTTACCAATATACCCACTGTCCCTCCTCTGGACATGTCCAAACCATCTCAGTCTGGTCTCTCTAACTTTATCTCCCAGTTGTTCAACCTGTGCTGTACCTCTGATGATCTCATTCCTAATCTTATCCATCCTTGTCACTTCTAAGGAGAACCTCAAGGTCTTCATATCTTCTACTTCCAGTTCTTTCTCCTGCCATTTTGTCCATGTTTCTGTCTCCAGTCCATACAACATAGCTGGTCTCACCACTGTCTTGTAAACTTTACTTTGACCTTTGCTGACAACCTTTAGTCGCAAATCACTCCTCGAACTATTCTTCATTCACTTCATCCTGCCTGGACTCTCTTTTTCACCTCTTTACCACATTCACCATTTTCCTGGACAATGAACTCCAAAAACTTGAAGTCCTGCACCTTTGTGACCTCTGCTCCTTGTAGCCTCATTGTTCCACCAGCCTCCCTCTCATTCACACATGTACTATGTTTTACTACGACTGACTTCCGTAACTCTTCTTTCAAGTGCATACCTCTACCTCTCCAAGTTCTCTTCCACCTGTTCCCTGTTCTCACCACAGATCACAATGCCATCTGCAAACATCATAGTCCACGGGGATTCCTGCCTGACCTCATCTGTTAGTCGGTCCATCACCAGAGCAAAGAAGAAGGGGCTCAGAGCTGATCCTTGATGCACGCCCACCTCCACCTTGAAGCTATCTGTCACTCCTACAGCACATCTCACCATTGTCCTGCTATCCTCATACATGTCCTGTACCAGTCTAACATACTTCTCTGCCACTCCAGATTTCCTCATTTAATACCACACCTCCTCCCTCGGTCATATGCTTTTTCTAAATCCATAAAAACACAATGGAGTTCTCTGTACTTCTCCATCAGCAATCTCAAAGCAAAGATGGCATCTGTGGTGCTCTTTCTTGGAATGAAACCAAACTGCCGCTCACAAATAGTCACCTCTCATCTAAGTCAGGGGTGTCAAAGTCAAATGGACGGAGGGCCAAATAAAAAATTTAGCTACAAGCCGAGGGCCGGACTGATCGAATGTTCATTGAAATTTTTTTAAATGACGCATATAGTCTAGTGAACCTAATTGAACCTACTGAAAACCTAACAAATATATTCCAATATGATCAGATAAATAAAGCAATATTTTCTTATGGCTCTGTCAGTAATCTTTAATTTTCAACAGACACAAAAGACAAATTTCCTTTATATAAAAACCCCCATAACATGAACATTAAATGAAAGAAACCTGTATTATTCAAGGCACCATCAGTAGCCTATATTTTCTATTTTAGCAAAAGTGGGCTAAATTTACTTCAAAGAAAAAAATAATGGCAATTTTCTATCATCTACTCAACTGAAATATTTTTAAAATATAATTGGATTGAAATACAATAAAATAAAGTGCAAAAATCTATTAACCATTTACCAGAAAGCCTATATTTGTTTTCAGGAAGTTTAATTTTTCGTGTCCTGCTCTCACCAGCTTCCATCCTTCTACATTAGCAAGAAAAAAATTATAAAAACGCATGATGTGTTGGTGGCTGACTCATATTTGTCAGGCTAAAATGAACATGACCAAAGATTCTCTCGGCGATTAAAAAAACAAAAAAAAAAAACAAACAAGACCAGGTTTTTTGTTGTTGTTGAGGTTTTCATTTATTTATTTACCAGGAGCTGTCCATTAAAATGAAAGCTACAACCGTGACACGATTACGTGGACTCGTTTTACCGAGAAATTTATCAGATGAGCCGTGAAGACGGTCGGACCCGCCTCTCTGGTTGCAGTGCGCGCTCCTGACACAGGGGGAACAGATTTTCACAGGGGAACAGAATTTCGCACAAGACCGGCTTGCTGCGGTCTGCGGGCCGGTTCTAATAATAAATCAAGATCATCCCAGGGGCCGTAAAAAACCTTCTCGCGGGCCGGATGTGGCCCGCGGGCCTTGACTCTGACATATGTGATCTAAGTCTAGCTTTCACAACTCTCTCCCAGATCTTCATTGTGTGACTCATCTATTTAGTTCCCCTGTAGTTGCTACAAATCTATACATCACCCTTTTTCTTAAAATTGGGCACCAGTGCACTTCTTCTCCATTCCTCAGGCATTTTCCCACCCTCAAATATGCCATTGAATATTTGAGTTAAAAACCTCACTGCCATCTCCCCGTCATTTTCAAACCTTCACTGGTATGTCATCAGGTCCTACTGCCTTCCCCTTCTTCATTCTTTTCAGAGCTTTCTGGACTTCAACCTCACTGCACTTCCTGGTCCACAGTTTCTATGACCGCTACTCTTCTTTCTCTTTCATTCTCTTCATCCATTAGCTCCTCAAAGTACTCATTTTATCCTCCCATCACACTCTCCTCACTTGTTAGACCATTACCTTTCCTTTCTTTAACAAGCCTAATCTGCTGCATATCCTTTCCAACCTGATCTCTCTATCTCGCCAATCGGTACAAGTCCTTCTCGCCCTCTTTAGTGTCCAGCCTTCCACACAACTCATCATATGTCTTCTGCTTTGCCTTAGCTACTTCCCTCTTTGCTCTATGGTGTATCTCCTTATGTTCCTCTTTCCTCTCTTCAGTCCTCTCATTGTCATATTTCTTCTTGGCTAACCTCTTTATTTGAATAGCTTCCTGCTCTTCACTATTCCACCACCAGGTTTGCTTATATGATGGCACTCTTAAGGAGGCTAGTAAAATCTATGATTTTTATATTTTTATTTATTTTTTTCACAAGTAAGATCCTCTATCCCACCTGTCAATCAATCCAACAGGCTTATCAGCAACTGACCAATCATCGATCTCAATTTGTCTTGAATTGAAATGCTCATTACCTGCTGGAGCTGCAGCCCTATTTCTCCGAAAACGTTGTCGGAGATTTGCATTTTGAATACTTTGCAGTCAGAGGGATTTCGGGAAAAATCATCCGAAAAAGTTGTTAAGCATTTTCAGTGGAGGACATGTAATTCAGACAGTGTTACCCTGAGCATTTAGAGGGTGGAATACAATTTATTCCATTTCCAAAACCTAATCAAAGTCTGGGAAAATGTAATTTATGGATAAGGCCCTGCAGCCAACCTCATGAGAAGCTGAATACTGTACAACAGTTATAAACAGGAACTACCACATGTTCATCAGTTTGGTCATAATTACTTTGTATACTTAGTGGTTAGATTAAACGTTGATGCTTAAAAGTAGTTGGGCTTTGTTTTGTGTTTTGAATGCAGGTATAGGTTGCAAATTCTGTTTGCATAGATTTAGTCTTGGCAGCACGGTGGGGCAACTGGTAGAGCTGCTGCCTCTCAGCGCGCAGGTCCCTGGTTCAAATCCCGGTCTGGGGGCCTTTCTGGGTGGAGTTTGCATGTTCTCTCCGTGCATGCGTGGGTTTTCTCTGGGTGCTCCGGTTTCCTCCCACAGACCAAAAACATGCATGTTAGGTTGATTGGTAACTCTATATTGTCCCTAGGTGAGAGTGAATGGTTGTTTGTCTCTATGTGTCCCTTGACTTGTGACCTGTCCAGGGTGTACCCCGCCCCTCGCACAGTGATTGCTGGACATGGGCACCGGCGACCCCCATGACCCAAAATGGAATAAGCAGGTAAAGAAAATGGATGGATGGATGGATGGATGGATATAGTTTGTCTTTGTTTGTTGTGTTCAGTTAACACTAAACTAATTTTGTACATAGCGTTTATTAGGTTGTGTAATGTAAAGTAGAGCGCTACGTCTTAAGCATCGTAGCCAGCACGTCTATATTACCCGCCACTAGCTTAGTGCTACTTCGTGTTGGGCCATTAATTCTAAAATAGTTATTGAATCAAGTGTTTACTTATGCAGCTAAAGAGATGTTTAAAAACCTGCTAAAATACACCAGAATGCAGGAAATGGCATCTACTTTATTCAAAATTCTCTAGGGGAGGACCCTCAGACCCTCCCACCAGTGTGTTCCCACACATTATGAATGTTTCTGACACCAATGGTCACCACGTTGTTCAAGCCAAGAGCCATTGTCATCACTGGGGCCTAAGCACCCCTAAATGCCAGATTCGAGAATTGACCCTGGTACTAAGCATTACAAATAGATTGATATCTTCTAATCCAACTCTGTTTACAGTATATTGCTTTCTGTGGACTACAGGTTTCCAACATGCTGTGAACAGCAGTGAGTCTGAAGTAACACTCCACATGCTGCCTGTTTGTTTGCCAGTTTAATAACAGGTCCTCCTCTCTAAATGACTGTTTCTGCTCACAATTGTTACCTTTAATAAATGGTTGATGGGGGTTCATGGTCATTTTTTTCTTCAGTTGCCTGTATGTATTTTTAGATCCACAGTCAGAGGTCTGCTTGGTATTTAATTTGCTCTGGAGCAAAGTAGTCACAGTGTTTTCTGACTTTTGTCATGAAAATGCAGGTTTGAGAGTTATCACAACAGAATCCAAAGCAATAGATGAATTTTACTCGGGCTTGTTCATCTTTAAAGAGAGTCTAGTTTTGACTTTTGGTTGGTTAAAACATTTAAAATGCTTTGCTTTTAATATTTTTCTGCAAATTAAAGCATCCTCTGAAAACAGAAGATAAATATGAAACTAAGATGGCCTCTAAACTCAGGGATGCATCTTCCTTCAGTTGATTGTTCATGACATTGATGCATGACTAGTAAATTATATGTACAAATAACTTTTCTGTTGAATTATGTACTTTTTTGGGGGCTTGAACAACTTTAAGGTCAGTGTTAAATGGCTTAACAAAGAAAGAAAAGGTTGGGTAGTGTCAAGACAAAAGTGGTCATAAAGCTTTTAGGAAATCCTGGTGAACTTTTGTTTTAAACCATTTAAAAATAATTATATCTGATTCTTGGAAAACAAATCTAAATCAATGAGGGTGACTAAAGAGTTTTGCACGGTTCTTTTTTACTCTCGCATCATTCATGGCAAGAGTATGGCATCCATCAACATAAAAAACCTACTCTGTGTGTTTAAAATTTCAGACTCTGACACGAAGCTTTGCACACAAAACCACAATTTTGTCTTTGTTCCACTTTAAAAAAGAGAAAATGTCCACGTCACTCAGAGAGAACATTACTGTTCTGCATGGCTGAATAAAAGTCTATGAATGGGAATGATGACTCTTCTTAAACAAGGCGAAGGAAGAAAAACAGCCTGTGCCATTTCTATGATGTAACATACGTGATCTTATAATGACGTGCTGTGAATCTTAGTGCTGCTCAGTCAGATCAGAGGACGGTGTGCACGGAGTCAGTGTTTGCTCCTCTTACCTTTTTCACTTTGGCTTCTTTAAGCTTCTCAAGTGCAAGTTTAATTTTGTCTGTCTTCATCTGCGCCTCCATTTCCTCCTAAACAAAACAAAAACAAAGCAGTCATATAGATGTTCCTCTCCGTTGCATTCTTATTTTTTGTCTTTTACTGTATGGTAAGATGTTTTACTATGCTAAAGATTCTCCTTGTACAAAATCCCTGAGAAAAAAAATATTGAGTGGAAAAAATGCATAACAGTAAGTCCTTTACTTTAAATACAGAGTGTGGATGATGTATGCTGTGACCTCACACCAAACTTACCATGTTCCACTTGCAAACCAAAAAAAAAACAATTGGATTTACTAAATGTTGAGATCAGTAACCAAGATAACAATGAGCATTAATTGATTGATAATAATGGATTCATCCTGCATTCAAACACTGTAGCAACATGCTTTGAAACAGACGTAGAACATTACCATGTGTGCGACTGATTTAATGACACAAACCAGCAGTGAAAATAAACCCATACTGCCATGGTCACAGCTTTATGTGTGCTTCGCAGATTTGTTAGTCAAGGTCAAGGCTGGGCAGGAATAGATGGCTTTCTGAGTCATAATTCGAACTTTGAGGAATTAGGAATGATTTACTTTAGATGTAGAACTAGAAAAGTCTGACTTGGGATAAAACACATTAATATCAGGCACTGGCTTCCCTCCAATACTGAACAAAAAATGGATACAGAGGATGGATGATTGGATGGATGGACTGATTATTATTTGTTTATTATTTTATTAAAATTTCCCTTGGGGTCACAGATCTCGTACAAGGGAGGCCTGGGCCTGAAAGCAGCCATCCAGGATGGATGGATGGAACTGTCACTTCCAGTGGTAATGGAAAGCACCATTTATTCCTTAATCTCTTGCAGAAGTACAACTATTCTGGCTTCTTCTAAATCAGTTATTTGGAATAAAAATTTGGTAAAAACCCACAAAATCAAATAATCAATGACAACTGGGTGGATCCAAGAGGTATAAATTTGTTAAATAACAGCATACAGTACATTAGCATCAGTTTTGTCATCCTAATCTCTGGGTAAAACTCAACAACATACTGTATTTTTGACCAAATCTTGAACTACTGACTTAAAGATTTAGCAGCTAAGAGGTACAAATTTGTACCACTGGTAATATTATAGGTCAATATGGTTAGTCTACATTTATTTGTTTTCAAGGATTCAAGGATCTTTATTTGTCGTACACATCACATGTGGTACATGTGGTGGAACAAAATTGTGTACACAGGGTCAAAGTTTAAATCCAACAAAAGTATTATAATGTAAAAGAAAAACAGTAATCAGATCTAAAAAATGTACTAAGAAAAACATTAACTAAAAATACACTAAGCACTAGCATTAAAAACAATACGCTGAACAGCAGCACGAACATGAGTCTGTGTGAGCAGATGAGCATGAATGAACACAGCAACATGAAACAGATCAACAGCAACATGATGTGATTTTTCACAGTGATTATCCTTGTTACATATTCATGAGTCTAACAGCCTCAGGGTAGAAGCTGTTCCTCAGTCTAGTGGTTTAATACTCCTTAACCTCATTCCTAAAGGGAGCGGGGCAAAAAGTGTGTGCTGGGTGAGTGGGGTCCTTCATGATGCAGGTGCCCTTTTCCTTTTGAGGTAGACAGAAATATATCCTGTGTAATATCCTGATGCATACTCAATAATCCAGGTAGAAAAATCCAAAAAAGTTCAATCTGGTCCTCTGGACATTCTCTGGAATGACCAGATTGAACTTTTTTGGATATCCTGTGTAATGTAGATAAATTTTCAAGTAAACAGGAATGGGTCATCATTTTTGGTGATTTGTGCTCATAATTAGCTATAATAAACTTAATTTCTACCCACATTCTTAAGGAATCTCTAACAATGACACTGTCTCTCCCTCAGCACAGCTGGTGTTTTAACTTCTGAATGATGAAGTCACAAGTTCTGCTAAAACAATAAGATCATATGTCTATCCCTCCCCAACCCAGTCACATCTGTACCTCCAGCTCTGATCCTGTTACAGTGTTCTCATGGCTAAACGTGTTTGATCCGCTCCAGACAGACCGTCAGCTGTCTCACCTCACACATCTCTGGCTGTAACTGACTCCTCCATCCTGCCATGATCTCACCGTCTAACAGCTATAAGAGCAATACCACTCATCAGTTTTGCTATGAATACGTCCCCCCAGACCTTGAGAGGACTGGGAGGGGTTTCATTTTAAGAACTAAAAGTATTGCTTCTTAAGGTGCAAAGGTCATTTATATTCCTGTCTAGAGGGAATTGATTTACCTTTGTCGGTTTCGTTGACTGAGAAGGCGGAGGTGGCAAAGGGGAGGTGGTGGAGGTGGTGGGGGCGCTAACATTGCCACTGCTGCTGCCATTTCTGGATGATGGTGATGAACTGGAGGGCGCTGGATGGGTGCTCAGGACTTTGGGTGGAGGTGGCAGGTCTGGTGGGGGAGGTGATGGCTCCTCCAGCCCTCGTATTTCAGCTGCGATCTTCTCTTCTGTCGCATTGAGGTCAGCCACCAGGTCGGCCATGAGTGCATCCAAATCATTGTCCTCCAGCTCGTGCAAAGACTCTGGTGAAGCAGAATCACTTTAACTAATGAGTCACTGAAGCGCTTTGAAATGTCATAAATCTTTTATCAGTAAAAAACATGAATGTTACAGTTTGGATTTAGTTTATCTTTAGTTAGTTTGTTAAGCACGCATTTGTTCTTATTGCCAACTCTTCAGTAAATTATCTACCTGGGTTCTTTCCATCCATCCATCCATCCATCCATCCATCCATCCATCCATCCATCC